GCGGCACATACCTATATGGCTTATATTTAAGCAATAGAAAACGTTTTCCATGTTTGCATAGCCTGATATAAACACGTGAGGGGTTGGGAGAATTCGAGACAGTTATGCAAACCCGAGACGAAGTCGAGGGTTTGCATAACTGTCGAGAATTCTCCCAACGCCTCAAGTGTTTATATCAGGCTACGCAAACACAGGAAAAAAGTTTTCTATTGCTTTTATAAAATAACTTTCCCGAGAAAAAAACGCAAAACTCTTTGTAAGGCACTGATTAAAAGAGAAATTCTTACCAGTCGCAAAATCTTGTCCACGAAGTCTTGCACGCGTAATCAGTTCTTGTTTTGCAAAAAGATGCTTTGCAAAATACGGATTTTTCTCGCTTAAAACGGTCAGCTTAAGCCAAGAAAAATGTACACACCTTCTTTGTAACGATTTTCCAAGTTTCAGCCGACGAAGGAATGGGTAAATAAAGTAAACTTTTTGAGTTTTGAACCCGAAAACTTTTTCAAATTTGTGCTTGCGTGATTAGCGCGCGAAAAACCAAACAACTTGACGCCACAACCATGTTTACATACTCTCATGCAAACACTGCTCTCGGCCAATCAGAGCGCGCGTACTATCTTAGTTATTTTATAAAAGGGAGTACCCCACCAGGCTTTGAACAGGCACCCACCTCGATCGAATATTCGAATGTCCACCTTCAAGGTTGGAAAATTTGAGTATGAAGAGGACAGTCCCACCTGCCTTTCACCTCAGTAACTTCTGCGTCCTCTCTTAAAGTAGTAACTCATCGTTTCGGTGGGAGAAGAACCAATTGTCGTGAAATTGGGCCGCAACAAAAAAATAAATTGGAAACCGTCCGGTGGAAGAAGCCAAGAAAATGAAATGTCATAAAAGACTAATTTTTAAACAATTTATCCAAGTCTCAGGTCTTTGTGGCCCACAGTTTCTGAGTCATTTGCCAAAACGTTTCACGCACCTTTGTAGAGCTTTGTAACGAGCGACTAAATATAGGAATAGCTCCGACCTGTAATTGGAGGATAAAAATAGTTATTAAGTAATAAGTTAAAGCTTAACTTTCAGCCACGCGTCACACTGGACAAAGATATCACTAACGTCGTTGTGATGTGTGACTTCTGTTTCGTCTTACGCAGTGAAAGAAGCAAGAAGTCGATGTATGAACCTTAAAATTTCACTTACATCGACAGAACCTTTTTCTGGTGTTAAACAGTACCAACAGAGATGGGAAATTGTCACAGCGTTGGCGAACAGCGTTCAGTTCGGACTCAAACAGTCGGAGCTATTCCTGTATTTAAACCACTGACGGGTCAATGTACAGGAATGGCTCCGATCTGCATAAAGAGAGACTTGTCACATGATGGTGTGTGGTGTGGGAGGGGGGTGGGGGTGGGGTCAGGGCGATCATGACCAGATGATATAAATAAAAAAAAACAAAGAGCTTCACCGAAAAAAAATTCAAAATCAACTCAAATAAAAAAGTCGACAAAGGAACTAGACTTGCTTGATCATTACTGATTACTTATCTGACTGTCGCTGGTGATTAGCAATACGGGGTTGTTTTTAAATGATCTGTTTTAAAGTTTTTGTACCGAGTTGTTTTTTATCCGACAAAACTTGAACGAATCAATTTATCGAAACTAAAAATAACTTGCTTGCGTCCATGATATACAAGGCCTAAATTAAAACCTTCTCACACGTAGCTTAGTGGACATTATCGATTGATTGATAAAGTCGACCTAAGCAGTGAGGTGCCCGCCTCACTGCATAGGATAGGGATGGGGGGTGAGGAGAATGAAAGCATTTTCTAGGGGGGGTCGGCACTTGAACATGCTTTTTTTAGGCTTGTATGCATTGCTTCTGCCTTTACAGGTGGGCAAAGTCTATACCCGTTTTCAGACCAAAACGGCTCGATAACCCTTCTCTTTGGAGTGGCACATACCTATATGGTTAAATAGGGAAGTACCTCCCAGGGGGCACTTTTCTGATGGTCCCTCCTCAAAACAAACCTGACTCAGTCAAGAAAAGCCACTGTTTTGCCATGATTTGCATCACCCGGCAAAAACTAGGTCAAGACACAAAATACACCGCCACACTCGGACTTTTTTTCCCGGTTTATAACAAATCGCTTTCTTTTCTTTACTCTGATGAACGCCTGTAGGACCTATAATTGAACTAGTTTAGTCCCTGTAGGTTAATTAAGTAAGAAAGGTCACATGACTCAACTAATACACAAATAATTTATTAAGCAAACAGTAGACTCAATGCAAAACCGGCCACTAGTTGATGAATATCATTTTGCTCATGGTTAAATTTGCTTTAATAACTTCATTCTTCAATTCCAAAAGTTAAACAAAAATGAGTTATCTCATGCGAGGCTAGTGAGGCTAATTTTAATGTATAAAACAGACTATTCGATTTAATAGGTTTTCTGCATTGTTTGATCAAACATCTCAGTTGTTGATTCTTTTCACTCATACGACTGAAGCAATTTTGTTTTACGAACTGCAAGTATGCATGACTGCCTTTAATCTATGCTGGGGTCCTGTACATAAAAAAGCCTTTGTACACTTTAGTCTATCTCGTCTATGTGGAATTTTCTTTTTTTGAGAATTTCTTCGGTGGTAGACAGGTGGTACAAGTCCATTCGTCAGGCTCTTCCTGCAGATTGGCACATTCCCTTGAGAAAAAAAAGAATGTAAGAAAAATGAAAATAGAAAGTTAGAAGATGCCGTCCTTTTGCCGAACCTTTTAAATTTAGCCATTGTAAGATTGCCCTGTGCACAGATGCTCTCTGCACTCCAAAAAGATTTTTGAACCCAAGAAAAAACATTCTCAAATTGACAAAAAATATATTCTTCAGAGCAGAGCTTTTGGAGCCCATCTGGATCAAGTTTGCGGTTATTCACAGCCTCGTTTTGATGAGACTGTAGTTTCGTTATTAAAATAAATTCTAATAATTGAAAAAGAGCACACATATTTATCTAATATCTGGGAAGTATTTCTATAGTCGGAAATGACTAGTTTAGTGAGGTAGTTAGCAAGCTTTCTTTTCCCAGTTCAGACCAAGTGATTTCCCTTTTGTCTTTTTGTCTGCTATGCGCAAAAGCGGTCTATTAAAGAAGTGACCTCACCAATCAAACCAATGTAAACAGCTCTCACACTGGATCATGTCCATGTACCTCGACTGCTGGCATAAATGACATGACCAAGACTCCTTCAACTGGCTCACTGCAAAACAAAGATTGCTACGTCACTTGTCAACATATGTTCACACATCGCAGCTTGTCTTACTGATATTCTGTATATCGTTCGTAGTAATAAATTTTGCAGAACTATTACAATCACGATCCTAACAACAGATGTAATTATCACGTTGTAAATTTACTGTGAAACTCACAAAACCGTGAATACCAGAATTATTTATGGAATGTTATTGTGTTTCGAGAAATAAGCCAATAAGGCGCGAGATAACGAAACTGCAAAGAGCAACGGTAATTAGTTTGTGGTTTTGAGCTTTGCTCGCGTGCCCTAAACTTTTTTGTGATTGGCCAGTACACAATCAACACTCCTGAAACTTTTCAGGCGTTCACGGTTTTCTACGTTTGACAGTAAAAAGTAGGTGAAATTAAAGCTGATTCTCTTACGCAACATAAGAAGCTTGTTCCATGCGTCGTCTGAGAAAAATCTTTTCAATACGGTCAAATCAGCGTCTACGGCTTCCCCTGGAATTGACATTACTTCGCATGGGCTGAGCAAGTCGCTAATAGAGAGTTTTCTCCCAGAAAGCTGAAGGTCTCTGATTGTTAGGCTTTTGTCTTTACAAAACCAATCAATCATTTCTTGCATTTCTAGAAAAACATATAGGCATATACTGAATACCATACGTATGTAAAGGAAAGTGAATAATAAAATAGGATTTAGGTATATGTAGCATATACAGGGATATATTATGGGTGATAACATGAGGACCCAAACTGATTGAAAGGTAAACCATCTGTTGTGCAGGTTTATGTCAACAGAACTGAAAAGAGTTTCCTGGAATATATTTCAATTTGCCTAGTTTCTAGTTTCTATGATTCAATTTCTTTGGTCTGTAAACAAGATTAACAAAAAGTGAGCACATAGGGTTGAATATGGGAACAGAGGAAGAGTGCAGGAGCGGATCCAGGATTTTTTTTAGGAGTGGGTGCACTCCTCTCTTGCTCTACTTCAACACCAATAAACCACATAGTTTTTTTTTGCAGAATACCAGTTGTATTAGAAAACCGCAGGTCATCTCAGAGGGGCCCCCCCCCCCCCCCCCCCCCCCCCAGGGGGGGTGCGCACCCCCTGCGCCCTCTCCCTAGATCCGCCCCTGGAGTGGTTCATGCTCCAGCAAAATACGTTGACAGAAACTATACATCTTCATAAAGCAAAAAAGGTCCTTTGCTTACCGTCTTCATTTACGTCTTCTCTTGTAAAACAATCATTGGTTTTAGTTTAGTCTTGGCCTTCTCTCCAGGTCTCTGTAATCGATATTTTTTCTTCTTTTGACGGTTTTGCAAGTAGAAAAGAAACGTCTTTGTGGTACAATGTTTTTGTTATGTGGGACTTTGTTTTGGGGACTTGGAAGGTTTTTCTTGCCATGGTCTCGAATGGATATAAACAGGCTGTTTGCCGAATTAATGCTTCTCTCCAACTGTTGTAACGCGTTGTCGTTATCGCAGCCTTCAACATCGGTGACAATGGAGAGTAATTTGGCTGGAGGGCCTTTTTCTTTAGTTCCCTATCTGATGTTCCTTCATTGTTTGCCGTTTGCCTTAAGCATTCTCTTAGGAAGTTTAACTCTGAAGACTTCTCCAAATGCTTGTTGTCACCCCTTGACCATTGAATATCATCGTTATCACATGCTGCATCGTTATACCCCTGCGAGTTAATAAATTCATCTTGCGAGTTATCGCATCTACAGACAAGATGGATGTGCTTGCAAATAGTGCTGGTTATCAAACTGTCCGGACAATTGCAGACATAAAGATGCACGCCGATTCGACACTCAGGGCACTTAAGCTGGCAGTTTGCTCTTTACAGGCGCTCATCAGCTTTGAAACTTTGTAACGACTTATTCCGTCTTGCCCAAGAACTTCCCAAGTATCGTCTTCTTCCACCTCAACCGAGGCAGTTGGGAGGGTCAAGCTGCGAAGATGCCGTTCATGTATCACACTTAGTCGAGATGTTACTTTCCCCTTAGTCAATTTGATCAGACGATCAAACGTCTTATCTCGTACATATTTTAAAAGGTTGAGAAGAAGATTGCCTAACCGTTTGTTGCTTTTGCCTTTTAAGTATTGATACTTGAAGACCTTGTGGAAGGCTTCTACAAACATATTTGTATTAATACCAAGGCCGACTCTAAGGCAATATGCCCATTCTTGTTTCCTGGAAACCCATTCCTGTTCAAAATACTTTCTGAAGGAGGCAGTCTTTGAAGGAAGACTTAGACGACGAATGAACCCTCGTAAAGACTCCTCAAACAGTGTTTCACTGGTCTGTTCAAGAACGGTTCGAAACATCTTGTACACTTCTACCTCTGTTTGAAGGCCGCCGATTTTCTTTCTTAACTCTTTAGTGACTTCCCTGTCTACGTGCCAAGTGCAAAGTAATGTCTTAGGACGGGGACAGTCATCCATCACCCCCACCCATGCAGTGTAGAACTGTGGTGCAACATCGCTCATGAACCACGAGGCTTTAATGGTTCCAGTGTTCTTCTTGATTTCGCAGAAAAAGGTGCACATTGTCTTAAAGTCTTCGTGATTCGAGATACACCATGCAGCAGGAAACCCTTCACCATATTCGTCTATTACCAACAGGGTCGTAAGAAGGAAGTCGTACCCGTTTGTCCCATGTATGCTGTCACAGCACACATCACTTGCCCCAAATTTTTCAAGCATGCTTTTCTGGAATAGACTTTGTATCACAAGAACGATATCTTCCTTAGGCAGGTCGTATCCGTCCAAACATGAGTCCTGAAAGTTTTGTAACAGGATTGGGTTGGTGTCAGGTGACTGATTCCATTCCGTTATCCAGGCTAAGACGCTGTCTAAGTCGTTTTGGTGTCGCTGATAATCTTTAAGCCCAAACGCGCTTTGAATGTTAAATAGATCCTTTTTTTCTACTAGGTGTTCTCGCAAAAATTGATCCTTTGTTACTCCCTCTCTGATGTCATTCAGGATTCTTTCTCTTGGCACCCCTTGCTGCATTTTAGCCACCAGTTGTTGACGCTTTGTTTTAGAGAGCCATACATGTTGCAGCTCGATTTCGTGACCATAATGCGTGTAACACACATCAACAGTCATTGTACCATCATCTTCGTACTTCAAAAGCATACTTGATGTGCAATTCTTTTCAATCTTGCATCTTCCTGTTCAAGCGAAAATGTAACAAAAAACAAAACCACAGCTTAGTTTAACCGGAAGATGTGAAAGTAACTGATTCTCACATCATAACCAACTACAAAAGTCTTCTTTACATTACGAACTGAAAAAAAGAAGTTATATTCCTTCTTCATAGTAGGGAAATAATCTTTTCTACAAAGCTTATTTACCTTGAGATTTTTGTCTTCTCTTTCCGCTTCTACGTGGTCTGTAGCTACCGCCTCTGTTGCACTGGAAATATTCCACTTTCTGTCCCGTAGAGAGATGTTTCTTGGAGCCTGAAGTGAATAGAAACGATTTCACACAATTCATATTTGTATTCGAAAAACAAAATACCTTCTCCCTCTAATAAATCAGCTATCCTCTTTTATAAAGTAAACTCACCGGTGACTTAGACAAAAGAGCAGCCCTCTTTTTCTTCAACTTCCGCCTTCCACGATTCGAATTCTCGTAAGAAAAGAAACGTAGTTAGTTAATGACCATTCTTTTTTATTGTCTATTCCTACTTTACCTACGTGGTTCATATATCGTCCCAACTATTTAGAGCAGAAAAGTAAGATTCGTGCATTCATCAAATATACTAGTGGTTTGGAAGGGTGGGGACAGGTGTTCCCGCAGATCTTTAATTCGGTAGAACTGCCGATCACACTCATTACACAAACATTTTCCTTTCTGGGAAGTAACATTGTTGCTGTTCAGATTGTGCTTACGTTTCATATGCCGTTTCATATTTGAGACTTTGGGACAAATATAGTCACACTCAGGGCACCGGTGTAGTTTGGTTTCCTGGTCTATCCTATCTATTTCTTCTTCCTTGCTTCGCTCCCTCTGTCCTGCTGGTTCTTGCCATGTTTCTGGAATTTTTTGCCCCTCATTCTGTTTTTCTGTCTTTTGTGTTTTCGGTGTGGGTTTGTTCTCTGGTGACTCGGCTACACTAAGGCCTATTGCCTGCCTTGATCTTTTTGCCGTCTCTCTTTTCTGGTCTGCCTCAAATGCTTGTTTTCGTTTTTTTTCCCGTGTCTGGTCCGTCCTTATTGGTGGTTTCTGGTCCGTCACTGGTACTGATTTCTGACCCGTCGTTAGAGGTGGTTTCTGGTCTGTCACTTGTGGTGGTTTCTGGTTGGTATCTGTTTGTGGTTTCTGGTTCGTTACTGGTACTGATTTCTGACCCGTCATTGGACGTGGTTTCTGGTCCGTAACTGGTGGTGGTTTCTGCTTTGTCCCTGTTGGTGGTTTCTGTTCCGTCACAGGTGGTGGTTTCTGGTCCGTTACTGGTGCTGATTTCTGACCCGTCATTGGACGTGGTTTCTTGGCCGTCACTGGTGGTGGTTTCTGCTTTGTCCCTGTTGGTGGTTTCTGTTCCGTCACAGGTGGTGGTTTCTGGTCCGTCACTGGTACTGTTTTCTGACCGGTCGTTGGAGGTGGTTTCTGGTCTGTCACTTGTGCTGGTTTCTGGCCGGTCACCGGTAATGGTTTCTGGGCTGTCCCATTAGATCCCGGAACAGTTGCGTGTTGTGATACCTGGTTTGTGTCCTGTATTCCAAGCAGTTGCAGATCGATATCTTTGGAAGATATACAGTTAATGAGCACCCTTCTGAGGAAGCATGAATGGAGTGTGGGATTTCTCAACCACAAAAATTCGTTGGAAATAGGTGCTCTGGTGTCAAGAAAACCTGCTCTCCAGAGGGTCGGATAAAGAGAACTAATGGCCCCCATTACAACATCAATCACCCCACAAACGCTTCCGGAGCTCTGCAAAGGTACATTCTTGAAGCATCCATTCGTACATTGGTGGAAGCCACGTTGGTTACCTTCTGGTTTGTGGGCAATAAATCGCCCTTGCGCTGGTTTTCGGAAGACAGGAAACTTCATCGCTAAAACATTAAGTATGGCGTTTACAGTGGTATTTATGTTAGTTGGAGGGGGCCACGCGAGGGTGTCGTAGTAAAACCACTTGTTCTCGACTGCATCTATGTAAAGCAGAGACCAGTGGCGTCCGGGCTTGTTAGGTGTGGCCACATCGGTTTTTTTAATGCCACCAGCCACATTTATGATGAAAACGATTGCCTTGATTTGTTTACCTCGCATAACGGACCTTGCATGTCTTTGTAGGTCGACATCGTTTAGTAATAGTAAATCATTGAGCATGAATACCGCCGTCATAGTGTTATGGTGGTGAACATTCAGAAGATCTATAAACCCGTTTATCACCGCAATATTCAACCACCTGTTTGACGTAAGGGTGGCCAAGTCGGACGTTAATATACCTTTAATGATGACAACTTTGTCATCAGCATTACCAAAGAGCAGTTTCTGATAAACGTCCAGAAATCCTGGTAGGGCGCATTGATGGTTTGGTAATGGTGGTGTTTTAGTTAGCCAGGTTTTCTCTTGCTTCACTTGTTAGGAAATATCCCTCAGCGAATGAACGTTCAGCAGAGTATCCAACGAGGAAATGGTATAAGTACCCAGAGAACAGGAGACTGCTTTGTACTTTCCACCTCTCAGTGTATCTATCATAACCTCAAAAACGGATCTAGAAGGAATGCTTGACACCGCGCTGACGTCAGTAACATATTGTGGAAGTTTGTAGTGAAGTGTTTGGACCTCGGTAGGTAAAATTTTCGGGAAGGAAAAATCTGCTAAATCACCACGGCTGGTCGAGTAAAATTTGTTCTTGATGATTATGTCCTAAAATATGACAAAAATAGCTATCATTAAAACCAGGATTCTGGTATACAAAAGGGGTACCCTTGCTGTCGATAATGGCATATAAAAGGAAGGGATGGACCTCGGCACAGAGCCTCCCGTATGAATTTTTCTGGGGTACCCCCCGGAATTAAATGAATAAGATGCTTTCTTGGATGTAGCTTTACCTGAAGTACTGCATCTAATTCTTTCAGGAGAGTTCTCGATGTAGCAAGAGATGTCTTTTTTCCTACAAGGAAAACAGAAACTCATTACACGAAATGTATTACTTCGGACGCACACACGTGAATTGGACGTGAAGACACGCGGCACTTGGTTTGTTTCATCTCACTGGAAATATAAGCAAGGATGTCTGACTAAGTTAATATCATCTTACCTTTAGATCTTTTTAGACTCACGTCCTGAATTTCTTTATCGCCGGTGGACGATCTTTCACTAGACTAGAACAATTCTGAATATCCTGAGTGAGTATATATGCACTCCAAAGCACAGCAAGCTGTTGCAGAGATGAATATGATCAACAAACAAATTTTCGCGCGCTGCTTAGCATCCAGGCTTGACCACAGGGTTCTGACCTTGCGTGACCAACCTATTTAGCTTATTTGTTTTGTACCCTCTGGTTATAATCGCATCAGAACCCCCCCCCCCCCCCCCCCCC